CCCATAAACCCCCAAGAGCCTTAGGGTAGACCCTAAAACCTACTTATAACTACCCATGAACCTCCAAGTAGGTATTGGCATTGGGGCTTAGTGCAAGGGCTGGAGATTCACTCCAGGACTCTGGAGCCTCTGACGCTTCGTGTGAAGTTTTTTTTTTTTTTGTTTGAGGGGGGGGGGGGTTTCCCTGTTACAATTCTAGTATAATGTACCCCCCACAACCCTACCCTAAACCCTAAACCCTAAACCCTAAACCCTAAACCCTAAACCCTATTCCAACATTAAGCTTGGGGCTTTATGAGGAGGGGAGGGGACCTCGAGGTTTCATAACTTCAGCTGGGCTTATTGGTGCTTTTCATGGGAGTTCTACAATGCCTTCTGAGGCTTAGCTGTTAGGGTGTACGATTTTTTGCAGTTTAGGTTTCAGGGTTCGGGATGTAGGCTTCTGGACTTGCTCAAGGCTTTCTCCAGCTCCTGGTGTTTCGACAGAGTTTGAGTTTTGAATCAGGTGGGTGCAGCTTTGGGGGCATAAAGTCTCTGTGAGGGCTCTATGGACAATGCCTGAATGCAAACTCCAAACATCTAAAAGTTGAAACTCCGCGAATGTAACAAGAGCGCCAAAGCCCTCAGCACAAAAAAGAAACAGAACCCTACACTCCCTAAAGGCTAAACTCCAAAACGCAGATATAAAGCCGAAATGGTATTCTCCAACGTTTACGTTTTACAAGGCAGCTGGAAGTCGCCACCTAAACCCAGGAGCGTGAACAAGCACCATCAATTGTACTTTAGGGTTTGAGGTTTAGGTTTCCTCATCTTTACATACACCACAAGCGAGGGCCCGACGTCTGCTAGCGCGGTTGGGTTTTACAGAGGTTTGGCTGCAAGCCCACAGCCCGATAGCGGAAGAAGTGCAAATCCCTAAGGGTCCAAGTGCCCAAATAGTAGGGTTTCAAGGTCCAAAAACCATTCAGAGTATGGATTTTGGGGCCTAAAACCTTACTATTTGGGTACTCGGACCCTCTGGGAATTAACTTAGTAGTAGAGAATGTAACGTTTATAACCTTTCCGAGTACTATCACCTCAGTCTACCCCAGAAGATTGTCTTTTCGGTCCTCCAGGATACTGCACAAACCACCAAGACCCTAAAACATAATTCCCTAAACCGTAGGAAGAAACGCCAAGGTCAGAACAACTCTCGGTCCGAAAACACAAAGGGGTCTTAGAGAGGTCCTAACGGTTCTTATATATTTTTTGTTTGTGGCCTCATAAGGGCTACTTTTGAGGGTTTTTGTATGCTCGACCCTAGACCCTAAACCTTCACACTCTCTCGGACAGGTCCTTCGCCCTGAGTTGGGGTAGAGGATCTATGGGTACTTTTTTAAGCTCCGACCTTCAAGATTGATTCATAGAGTTTAGTGTTTAGGGTTTAGGGTTTTAGGGTTTAGGGTTTAGGGTTTAGGGTTTTAGGGTTTAGGGTTTAGGGTTTAGGGTATCCCTAAGCCTCTCACCTCTAAACTCGCAGCTCCCTTCCAGGCGGCGGTGCTGCCGTGGTCCTGCCGTATAGTGCTGAGTCCATCGTCGAGCACCTCATCGTGTGCTGCGGACGGCATGAGCGGGGGCATACATACATATATTCATACATACATTCATACACACCTATACATACATGCATACATACATACATGCATACATACATGCTTACCTACGTACATACACACGTACAGTTTGTGTGGAGAGGGTGTGCACGGGGGGTCTTACTGGGGCCTGAAGTTCTGTTCTCAAGGTGAGGGCTTTTTTGAGGCTAGATTCAGGGCTTACGGCTTTGGGCTTCGGCTTTAGGATTTCGGTTTGGGGTTTAGGGTTTTGAGTTTCGGTTTTGGGTTTAGGGTTTTAGGTGTTTGGGCTTTGGGCAGAAATATAAGGGTAAGGTTTCCAGCTTGAGGAACAAGTTTGGAAGTTCGGGCTTCGAGCTTGGTTTCACTAAGCTGCGTACTCAAGATCTTGCGAGGCATTCGGGGTTTAGGGTTTGGCGTCTAGTGTTTAGGCGCAGGCTTAGATTGAGCGTATGCTAGGACGCTGCGTGCCGAGAACCACATGTACACAAGCACGTGCCTGAATTATTTGTATTCGGGATACGACCATCAAGAGTTTATGCACACAAGTTTCCTTGTTGCTCTGTTACAGTTCTTATTCATGACGCGTGCTCGCTGGGGTATAAGACATTGGCTTAGATCTTTTCCTGCCATGGTGCCGGGCGCGAGAGTTATTTTTAGATGTCTCCGGCTTCAGGAAGTCTCTAAAGCTTCAGCACGCTCAACTCCGCTGATCCCTATCAACGGGAATCGACCCATGCTCCTGACTAGTTTGATTAATCATGTGTCTCTAGTCCAGCTCCGTCATGACCTACCTCCACAGAATCATCCACCCCTAAGCCCTAAACACTAGCCTAGACCCTCAACCCCAAACCCAAAACCCTAAACCCTAAGCCCTAAACCCCCCCAAAACCCCCAAGCCCTAAACCCTAACCCTTCAGCTTTCTCTCCAACCTGAAGCCCTATGTTCGATGTAGGTTGGATAACACTGTCCCGGTTCAGCAACAGTTGACTAGCATTTTCACTATAGATCTATAGGCCCCTGAAGAGGAGTCCTAGTATAGACTGTTACTGGGTTATGGGCACTACAACGGTTATTTAGAGTTAGTGGGACCGCGACCCACGGTATGAGCAACTGGCCTTTTAGGGTAGGTAACCTTCAGTTTCGCTGGGGCCCGCACTCACTGCCCCACGTGCTTTTTTTCCGGGTACTGCAAGGGCTACTGTACATATGATCCCGAGCGTTAGCCTTTCGTTCCCAGGTTACTGGACCAGTATGGCAACAGTCCCTACGCCATCTCGTAGCCTAAGCTCCACAGGTAACTGGGTGTTTCCGAAACTAGGGGACCCTAATCTAGTACCCTAAATCGTAGGACCCTTATTATAAGGCCCAAAATAAGGTACCCCTTACTTTCGGAAAGTCCCAAATCGATGCCACGAAGTCCTGAACTGCCATTACCACCAGGCCCAATGCCCCACAGTAGCACGACAAGTAACATCTACAGGTGACGAAGTAGCTTCGGGTTTAGGGGTCAGGGTTTGGGGTTTAGGGTTCAGGGTTTAGGGTTTAGGGTTTACCCTAAACCCTAAACCCAAATCCTAAACCCTAAACCCTAAACCCTAAACCCTAAACCCTAAACTAAACGTTTTAGCCATAACCTTGTCAACTCATGGAGTCCTCGGCATGACAGCCGAAGATTCTACGTGTTTTTGTTGTTGAGCGGTTTCAGTTATCCCCCCTTGTTGCGGTACGGGCATGCTCTCAGGTGTCGAGAGTTTATGGTTTAGAGTCAAGAGTCTCAGTTTGCGGATGCAGAGTTTGGGATCTACCTTAAGAACCCCAAACCCACTTTTTTGTAGGTTCTATTATAAACCCTAATATGGGGTTTTGTAGGGACCCTACAAAAAAGTAGGTTTTGGGTTCTTAGGGTAGGGTGTTCATGCTTCGGGTTTAGGGTTTAGGTGTTTAGTAGGCACTGCGACCAGAAGCCAAAGCTGCCAGGATTTGTGCAAGCACTGTCGGCTTTCTCATCCTCTGCGCAGGCATGAACATGCTCAGCGACTGGGACGAAATTGGAGTTTCAGAGTGTTCGCAGGGCTTCAAAAACGGCTTTGAGGGGTCCCGTAAGGTTTTGTAAGGGTTCTACATGTGAGTTTCAGAACTCAGACACCCTTAAATGGAAGGTTGAAGTATTCTTACGAAGTAGGACAAGTAGGATCTCGAACGAAAGGTGCCTGTACATCTTGAGAACTCCCAGGCCCCTCCCGCCTCATATACATACATATATATATATATATACATGTGTGTATACATACATACATATCCTCTCTTAAATTGAGCAGGAATGATAACGACAACGGCTTGTAATTTGCAATGTTAACAATCCTCAACGCCAAACCTTCAAACCCGGGTGAACAAAGAGCCCCTAAGCCACCCCGCGAGAGAGACACCCTACCAAACCCGCACCCTAAACCCAAAACGCTACACCCTCACGGACAATGTAGGGGCCTACATAACTAGTTACCTACCATTCCATCGGGCCCCTTATTCTGATTCTACTCAAAAGAAGCCCAAAGCCCTATTTCTGATTATTGAGGGCCCTACACCCTAATTCTAAACCCTAAAACCTAAACCCTAAACCCTAAAACCCGACACCCTAAAACCCTAAACCCTAAAACCCTAAAACCCTAAACCCTAAAACCCTAGACCCTAAACAATAAACCGTCATCCCCTCAAGGCGAACCCCTGGGCCCGTTGATGAAGTACCTGGGCTTCGGCCCTCACACCGGTGCCCCTTGACTTGCAGGAAATCCCGGAGACGGGCAAAGTAAGGGTTTAGGGTTTAGGGTTTAAGGTTTAGGATTTAGGGTTTAGGGATTAAGGTTTGGGATTTAGGGTTTAGGGTTTAAGGCTTAGGATTTCGGGTTTAGGGTTCAAGGTTGAGGGTTTAGGGGTTTAGGGTTCAGGGTTTAGGATGAGGGTCTAGGGTTCTTCAGGAAGGAGGCCTTACACAGGACCCCCCAAACGAGTACAAGGATTTCAGCCGGTACAGGGCCGCGGTGCAACCCCTCCCAAACAGGTCTTCTGTTTATATGCCTAGGGTTTACTTGGAGGATCATGGGACTTAGTAAGTAAGGTTATAAGTACCCTAATTGGGGTTATAATTATAGTTACCGTATTTTAACCCTAGTTACTAAGTCCCATGATCCTCCAAGTAGGGTTCTCCAGTAAAGAGGCCTTACACTGTTTACATGCCTCGTGGCTCATTCCGAGGGAACCTTGGCGCGTACCTTAGAGCTCGAGCTTCCTGTGAATCGTACCCTAAACCCTAAATCCTAAACCCTAAACCCTAAACCCCAAACCCTAAACCCGTTGGTATGAAGGAGCCTCATCAGTCGCTGATGACATGAGTTTAGCCTTTTCACGGCGTCAACAATATGGCAGCTTCCGAACATTAGGGGTACCTTATTTTGGGGGCCCTTATAAGAAGGATCCGAATATTTAGGATGCTATGTTAGGGTCCGCTATTTTCGGAAACCCCCATATAGTTGCTGTCGACTACTGTAGAAGATGCCCTACTCGAACCAGACGCTTGGCTTGGGGATTGCTTAGGGGATTTGGGGACTTGGCAAGCAGACTTATACAGGTAAGGTAAGCATTATAGGGACCCTTAAAGGAGCCCTTAAAGGAACCTTTGTAGGAACCCTTATAGGAACCCTTGAAGGACCATAGCTTTCATCACTTCCAGCCTCAATGAAGGTACCTACCATGACAATCAAGGCATCCTTCGATCCTTCAAATAGGGTCGAGGAGAGTAACGCTGCAGTTGTCCCAGGGTCTGTTCCTTAGGGCTCCTGAGTAGAATGCCGATTTTATAATACTACATAGCATTGTTCCTTCGGCTTCCTTTCTACAGTTCGACGGTACGCTGCTATTTTCATGTACCCTACCCACAACCTTATTCTATATGCCCTAAGGCGACTGGCGGCACGCGTAGGGCGCTCCTACGTTGCCTGGCACGGAATTACTTGGGGGTGAATATATGCCTGAAAGTAAGGTAGCGGTTTAGGGTTTCTTTTTCGGCACGGCCTCATGGCGAAGCCTCCACCATAGTCAAAGTGTATTCGGAGCATAGGCATGCGCTTCACGACATCCTTGGTTGTGAGATGCGTGCGTGTTATGCAGTTTCTCGGGCCCTCAGACTCAAGTCTTCTCGAGAAAATTAAGATCATGGTAAGGTAACGAATAGTTACAGCCATTGTGGCCGCTTGATCTGCCCTTACTGTCGTGCAGGCGTTCTACGCCAGGGGCATAAAGACATGGCCCCTGAACCCACAACCTTCCTGAAGGAAGCCCCAAAGCACCCAGACCTTCCAATGACCCTTAATTACAGAATGGACCTTTAATCATATCAGGGATCCTACTATTCTATTCTAATTACAAGATCTATTCCTGAATGCAGGGATGTTGGAAGCGCCAAAAACAGGGCGTGGCTTGCTCGCAGGTCTGACTGCCGCCGTGGTCTTCGTGACGCCGGCTTTCGTGAGCTTGATGGCCCTCTGGGCCACTGAGATGAAATTCCTCAGCTCAGATTGCTCAGGGAGCCCAACCCCCCCTTAATTCAGGAATATACCGTGCATGATACGGGGACTTAATACCGGTATGATTTAGGGTATATGGCACAATCTCTGGGTAAAAGGGGCTCAAGGGTCCCATTAGGCCTTTTTTAATGTTTTAGAAGGGTTCTTCCCAGGGATGGATGAGGCGTTCAAGGGTTTAATTAGGGCTTCAACTCACCTGTCGAAAAAGACATCAAACTTAGAACCCCCCTAAACCCTAAACCCTAGAACCCTAAAGCCCTAAACCCTATAACTAGCCTATAACCCTAAACCCTGAAACCCTAAAGCCTAAAGCCCTAAACCCTATAACCCTAAACCCTAAATCCCCTTCACAAACCCTATAAGCCCTAAACCCCGACCTTGGTCAACCCACAACAGTCAGAAATGCCCTGAATGATGTGCGCCCCAGTGCGTCGCCCTACCCCCCGGCACGATCGTGGGCGGGTTAGCCGGCAAGTACACGTTTAGTGCTACTGTAAGTTGTTCTAGTCTTGCACCAGCATTTCTACTAGTGAAGGGCTTAGGTGTTGTGGGGGATTAAAATTAAGGCTGCTAAGCCCTCACTCCCTACAGTCCCTACTATCCCCGACAAAACCCGTATAGAACTCCCCAAACCCGAAGCCACGGGAGGCCCTACACAGACCCGACAACCCTTAAGCCGTGAAGCCCCGAGGCACTCATCAAATCCGAGAGGGCTTCATGAAAAAACCCTGGTAAACACCGCATGAACCGCCATGAAGCTGAAAGCCTTATCAAACCCTACAAAACCCTTATGAACGACGTGAGCCACCCACAAAGCCCTCTTAAAACCCTAAACCCTGAACCCTAATTGCTCTCACTTCCTGAGGTCGGTGCAATCCTTGCAGCTGTGGAGGGCTGGTCCATGGCAGAGGGATTTTGGCAGCTTGGCTTAACTTCGGGGTCTATACAGGGCTTTGTAATTACAGGGTTCTAGATGAGGTCAAGTTAAGAATTTTAGTCTAAGGGTTTCATAGGGTTTTGCAGGGCCTTGATCGTGCTTCTAGGGTTCCTGCACAGCAGGTGTTATTTTCCCCTTGGCCTGCGTGTTTTTGAATAGGTCTTCTTGAAGGTGATATGTTGCTTCATCGGATGTACAGAGGTTCAGTGGATCTAGCTGCATGCAATTGGGGGACTTTAATAAACTAGAACTCTAGATACCTGGGAACTCAACGAAACCATAAAGAACTCGTATCAAACCCTTACTTATAGTAGGAACCCTTAAAGCAACCCATCAAAGGAAGTCTCAAAGGAACCCCTTGAAGGAACCCTTAGACCCTTAAAGGAACCCTTTAAAGGCAACCGCCTAATGTATGGGCCTTCATAATTACAATAGGGTTTTGGGGTATACTTGGAGGATCATGGGACCTAGTAAGTAAGGCTATAAGTACCCTAATTGGGGTTATAATTGTAGTTACCTTATTTATAACCCTAGTTACTAAGTCCCATGATCCTCCAAGTATTTTAGTCCCCTATATTCTAAACCCTAAACCCCTAAACCCTCAACCCTTATAAACCCTAAACCCTTGAAGCCTAAACCAGAAACCCTAAACTCTAAATTAGGACCCCTAGAGAAGCTTTAAAGGAGCCGTCCCCGATCCGTGAGCACCGGTGCGCTGAGGATCCCGAGCCTTTCACGACCTTAGAGGGGCCGGAACAACTAGAATTGGGTTTTGGGGTATCGGAGTATTGGTAAAGGTTTTGGGGTTTATGGCCAAACCCTAAAACCGAATCCCCGTCACCCTAAACCCTAAAACCCTAAAGAAATCCGGAAACCCTTAACCCAAAACCCTAAAACCCTAAAGAAATCCGGAAACCCGAAGCCTTAAACCTCTCCTAATGCCCCATGGCAGGTGGAGCGCAGCTGCTCAGCTCGGGGGCGGCATGTCGCTGAGACGCTGGGCTTTGACTGGGGTTTTAGGGTTTAGGGGTTTAGGGTTCAGGTGTTTAGGGTTTAGGGGTTTAGGGTTTAGGGTTTTAGGGTTTAGGGTTTTAGGGTTTTAGGGTTTAGGGGTTTAGGGTTTAAGGTGCATGCGTTCAGGTTCAGTTTTCGGGTTTCAGGTTCATGAAACCTGATATTGGGCTTCTGAGCAGGGTTTGCGTACCCAGAGAGCCCAATACCACCTAAATAAGGAATATACCTTAAGTTATAAGAGCCTTAATATTATGATTTAAGGTATCTTCTTTAATTAAGGGGTATTGGGCTCTCTGGGTAGGGTTCTGGTGGGGAGTGTAAACTCCTTGAGGAATCAGGAGGAATCAAGAATTAGCAGTGTGGTACGTACGGCAACCATACTTACACCTACTCATAACCCTCAATCGAGGTCCTTAACTTTACTTAGCCTATGTAGGAACCTGAGTATACAACACCAAAAGGTTAAGGATGCATATAAAGAACCGTAGTAAAGACCCTGGGTTTCGTAACCAGGTTCCTACATTAGCAGAGTTGCTTCCGTGTAAAACCCAGAGAGCCCAATCCCCCTTAAATAAGGAACATGTCTTAAACTATAGGGGCCTTAATATTATCACTTCAGGTCCATCCCTTATTTAAGGGTATTGGGCTCTATGGGAAGCTCGTTTTTGTCCTCCACTCCGAGGCAGCGCCAGCGTTCAGACCCGTTCGGGAAGGCGCCGCCTGCTTGCCCGCGATGATTTTTGGGCGCTTTCAGGGGTTCTGGGTTTGGGGTTTAGGGTTTAGGGTTTAGGGGTTTAGGGTTTAGAGGTTTAGGGGTTTAGGGTTTCGGGTTTGTGGGTTTGGGGTTTAGGGTTTCTGGATTTGGGGCTCAGGGCTTGCACCTATGAAATAGTGCAAGTATGAGTCTTTGGGTACGCTCGAGGCTCGTAATCTGGAAATCCTGGAAAATCAAAAGTATCGATCCCTGGGGTTTTAGGGTTTAGGGTTTAGGGTTTAGGGTTTAGGGTTTAGGGTCATGGGAGGGCTATATATCCTATCGCCAAGCCTCAAAAGGTCCCTGCAAACAAGGAGGACCAGTGAGGTTTGGGGTTCAGGGTTTAGTTACCAACATGATTCCTCAGGGTTCCTTGGTATGATTATTCCATAAAGGAGCCCAGAAACCCTATTCTGATGCTTAAGGGCCCCTAAACCCCTAAACTAAAGCCTCATAGTAGCCCTTAAAGTAACCCTTATCGAACTCTTGAAAGGAATCCTCTTCTTATATGGCTGAGGCCCTAAACCCTATAAACCCAAAACTCTAATTATGAAGGCCCTAAACTCTAAACCCTACGCTCTAATTATTAAGGCCCCAAACGCTAAACCTTAACCCCTAAACGCTATTTATTCAGGCCCTAAGCCCTAAACTCTGAACTCTAGTTATTAAAGCCTTATAAAACCCTAGACCCTAAACCCTAGACTCTAAACTCTAATTATTAAAGCTTTTTTTCCCTAGACCCTAAACCTCAAACTCTAATTTCTCTATTATTGAAGCCCTTTTTTCCCTAGACCCTAAAACCTGAACTCTAAATTAAAGTTATTAAGGTTCTAAAAACCCTAGACCCTAAACCCTAAACTCTAGTTCTTAAAGCCCTATAAACCCTAGACCCTAATCCCTAAACTCTAAACTCCATCTACTAAAGCGCTATAAACCCTAGACCCTAAACCCTAAACTCTAAACTCTAATTATTAAAGCCTTTTTTCCCTAGACCCTAAACCTCAAACTCTAATTTCTCTATTATTGAAGCCCTTTTTTTCCCTAGACCCTACACCCTCAACTCTAAACTCTAATTATTCCAGCCCTTTTTTCTCTAGACCCTAAACCCTAAACTCTAATCATTGAGGCCCCTACTAGATAATAGTAGATTATAGTATATTATGCTACATTATAGTGATTTATAGTATATTATAGTATACTACACTTTCGCAGGCTCCTAGGAACCATGGCGGCCGCCTGGAGCATCGGCCTGGCTGCGCTTTCCGCACCTTTGGGGCATAGCTTTCGACGGTTTAGGGCTGTAGTGTTTAGGGCTGTAGGGTTTAGGGTTTAGGGCTGTAGGGTTTACGGTTTATGGCTGAGGGTGTAGGGCTGTAGGGTTTAGGGTGTAGGGCTGTAGGGTTTAGGGCTGTAGGGCTTAGGGTTCTAGGGTTTAGGGCTGTAGGGTTTAGGGTGTAGGGCTGTGGGGTTTAGGGTTTGCGGCTGCAGGGTTTAGGGTGTAGGGTTTAGGGCTGTAAGGCTGTAGGTTTGTAGGGTTTAGAGCTGTAGGGTTTAGGGTTTAGGGCTGCAAGGCTATAGGGTTGCAGGGTTTAGGGCTGTAGGGTTTAGGGCTGTAGGGTTGAAGGTTTAGGGTTTTCTGATCTCAGGGCTGCAGGGGGTTGAGCCTTTTTGGATGGATTCAGGGTTTAGGGCTCGAGGTCAAGGGGGGTGTAGCAAGATAGCCCAAGTTTCAGGTGTTTAGAGGTTTGGGGCTCAGGGGTTTAGGGCTTAGCTTTAGGGTTTAGGGCTGTATAGGACTGACCATTACTAGCATCCCGCCGAGGAAACCCAAGCATACACTCATTGTCGAACAAGCCTGATAAATCTCACCTCCCTAGCATAAAACCCTAACACAGGGACGCAGAACTTTGTGAGCCCCGTAACCAATACTAATTATTCTGGATCATTTATGTAAGTGGTAACCTAAACCCTAAACCTACATAATTTGCTGAAGTTGCTGGTGCCTGCATTATGGTCTGGTCTGAGTTCGCCTCGAACCCCAAACCCCCACCCTCCGTCTAAGACCAGAAACCACTGCCCCAAAACGCCGTCCCCTAAACCGATTTCGTAGGCTGGCTGGGGGTTTGGGGTTTTGAGGCTTTCGTAGGCTGGATGGGGGTCCTCTGCTTCGGTCATAGCGTACTTTGGGTTTCCGGGCTTGTGGGGGATGGAGTTCGAGACCGTGTATCTACAGTGTAAGGCTAACGAGTTTAGGGTTTAGGGGTTTAGGGTTTAGGGCCTTGGGTTTAGGTTTCAGGTGCCACCACCACTCGGTGATACAATGAACAGGTAGAAGCACCAGATACGGCAATCTCAATCAGAAGTTTGAATCACCACGTCCGATGCTACCGGTGGATTCGAATTGACTGTGCTGGCTGAATAGAACCTCATGATATTGCCCAGAGCTGCAAACAATCCTAAACCCTGAACCCTAAACCTTACAACTAAATCCGACGCCCTCAGATACCGAAGCTTAGGTGGGCGTCGGGAGCTCCCCTGCTGTGGAACCGCCGCTGGGAATTTTGCATTTTTTGGTCGTTGAGTCGTTGAGTTGAGGGCATTCTCTGGTTGTCAGAAGCAACATGGGTGGTTCTAAAAGCTAGGGTCCTTTTTTGGCACCCTTTTTCAAGGGTGCTGTACTATTTGGGATCTAAGAAGGGACCCTACTTTCGAGAACTAGCCATATGATAAGGGCTCAACTTACCAGTATCGTTCCTGAGGGTGAAAACCAAAATCTTGTGCGAATTCTCAAAGTTCCTATGCTGAGGCTAAGCCCTATGGCGGCATGATAGATCCTGAACCCGACGCTGCTACGGAAACCAAATGTTGAACAGCCTCAACCCTGACGTGCATAGTTGTTTGGTTGACGACTCTCATGTCATCGGATCTAGGCCGGAGACTATAGGTAACCTCTCACATCGCATTCAGGCTCATTGAGAGGCTCAAGACGGTGGCCGGCTGCTGGCGACGCTGTCGCGGGCAACCCCGTGTGACCGCGACGTCATCGGCATGATGGGTTTAGGGGGGCGCAGGGTTTCGGGGTTGTGGGCTCTGTGGTAGTAGGTGTACGTCTTGCATTCTTATCCTGCCTGCCTTTCTCGTACATGCTCGTATAACTACGTTGCATCCACCGAACCTTCTCTGGATGTCTGATGCGAAAATCATATACTGTAGCAGCCTAAACAATTACCAATAGTATTTTGGCGGTCCTTTGTTATAGTTCTAGTATGAATTAATACCCCAATTAAAAACCAACACCAAATTCTAATTATTAAGGCCCCTATATTAGGGCCGTTGTCGAAACTTTTACTTCCAAGCTCCAAGTCGGATAGACCGACGATTCGCTCCCCAGAGAGCCCAAAACCCCTTAATGAAGGAATGTACCGCAAGTTATAGGGTTCCTTGAAATTTACATATATGAGGGTACTATCATGGGGTTCCTGTCAGGAATATACCTGAAATTATAGGGGGCTTAATCGTATGATTTAAGGTATGTTGCTCAATTTATAAGGGTATCGGTATTGGGCTCTCTGGGTCCGTCTTCGCTACCTACGCGAAGCTTGAGATTTAATTCAGCTGCCCGTGGGCTGACGTTGGGGGGACGCCAAGTGCCTTTCTTGCAAAGGCCAGGCCCTGCAGTAATATAGGGGCCTAAATAATTACCAATATTATTTTGGGGCTCCTTATTATAAGTATAATATACAGGGCCCCAAAACGTTATTCTAATTATTAAGGCCCTCAGATTAATTGTCAACCTTGTCAGCGCACCCTAAGCCCTCAAACTTGAAGCTAACCCTAAACCATTAACCCTGAACCCTAAACCCTAAACCCCTAAACCCTAAAACTATAAACCCTAAAACCTCAAAATTACCAACCCTAAACCCTAAACCCTAACGAAACCATAGACCCAAAACTGACCGGTGGTTTCCGCTGTAAGATGCTACTATCTGTCGGGATTAGGGTTTAGGGAGATGAGGGTTTAGGGTTTTAGGGTTTAGGGTTCAGGGTTTTAGGGAGTTTGGGGTTTCCGGTTTAGGGTTTAGGGGCTACTGTCGGAGTCTGAATGTCCGGTATTGGTATTCTCCTAGAGGTATGCAGAAGGGTCCTCATAATCGGATTTGTAAGGGGTTGAAATTTAAGTATAGCTAGTAGCAACGATTGCTTACGATGATTATGCACATATCGCATAATGTACCCCGCTTTAGCCCCGAAGCCTTTTCATATTCTAACGCCAAACCCCATAAACTCGACATGCTGCACATGTGATTCCGCGACGTTATGGACGTCGTCTCCGAAACCCTTAAGCCCTATATCTAGGACATTTTCACGTGGATAGTTACCGTTATAGGAGCCTTGTAGAAAGTCTACATACCTTATGGAAGCCTCATAGAAGCCCTATATACCCCAAACTCCCCACCTGTAGTTTCCTTGAACTTAAACCTATAAACCCTCGGCCGGAACCCCAACGCTGCTCAAGATTTCTGGTCCGCCCCCCCTGCTAAGCAGGAGGCTTGTTTAAAGCTTTGGATTGAAAGCTCAAGCGGCAACCGCCGAAAGCGCGTTGCGATGTGGGCGCTGGCTGGCTGCAAAAGAGCGCTACCCAAAACCCGAAACCCGAAACCCTACCTAGGATCTATAGGTAACTTGACCTAATTTGTCAATGATGGCTTAGTGGGGTTTCTAAAGATCTTTTTAAATGCATCCTATATCCTCTAACAGCAGTTCCCTAGTTGGGGCTGAACCTACACCATCAACCCGAAGCTAATGATCAAGCAGATGTAAAAACCGCCAAAAACACTACATTATATATATATATATATATATATATATATATATGAATGCTCTCCCGAGATGCATGCTCAATGCGATTACGTCTTGCCCAGCAGGCGATTGGGTCCCTTGTCGTTCCATGGTTGTGAGTGAAAGTTTGCGTCATTGACATGGTGTACGTTTACTCTAGAAATATGTGCTGCCACTGGCTTAGTGCTTTTGCCAGAGCTTGTGACGGAAGGCTATCTACCAATTCATAGGCCGCAAAGGGTCGCAGTCCCCAAACCATGATGGTAAATGCTAATGTAGAAACCCTACATTCTACCACATAGGTACTTAGGACGCCTTGGGAGGAGGTATAGACAACATAAGTTGGGTGTAGCAACCCAGAATGCTGAGGCTCCTCTTTCGTAGCCGTTAATGCTAATCAGAAGGGTGCTATGCGGGTCAGAGTTTTACTAGCAATACTATTCTTCAGGTTTCCTGGGTAACTGGTAGGCTTATACTGAAATTTAGGGTTTAGGGTTTAGGGTTTTGGGGTTTTAGGTTTAGAGTTGAGGGGTCTACACCACAACTGTTCGAGGTATTGAAGCTGTGAGGGATTAGAAGTTGACCCCTCTTGGTGGCTGTGGGCACCAAGTCAAGACCTGTCAACTACGAAAGTGAGGGCCGACTTAGTGAAACCTGATAAGCTTCATTTCACCCAACACCCCTAAACTGAAACCCTCAACCCGTTCGGGTTTCGGGTTTAGGGTTTGGGAT